TCCTGCAACAAATCATCAATTAGTTATCCTCTAAAATAGTTTGGTGGGAAATACACCTAAATGCCAAGGTATTATTTTTGTTTTGAGTTGAATCTTCCTTTTAAATCAGTTTATATTAAGGTTACTTCCTTGTTGGCAAGAGTTAATTCTGTGCCATAAGCAGTCTCCAGGCAGAGTGAGTCCTCTGCTCTTTACTAATGCAGACCTACTGTTTGTGATCTGTGCTTCTTATCTGCAGACCTAACTTAATCACTGCCATTATTTTCTTGCTTGGTACTGCTCTGGGTTGTCTATGACAACCGATTATAAGTTGTTGTAATCAGTTCTGCGTATTTTATTTTAAGGACATTAATAAACATTGTGATAATAGATATCAGAGCTGGGTGATAGTGGAACAATCTAATATTTCTTAAATAATCACCTCTAGTGATAATGTGGCAATGTTTTGTCTGTGGCTGTTGGTTGTTTCCTACATTGAGTGCCATATGCTGAATTATGTTGCAAATTTACTTCAGAGTTAAAAATAAATTGTCTAAATATAATGGATAAGCATGTGTAAACATTCACTGTTCAGCTAAAACAGTAAAAATAAAGTGAGAAAATTGCATTTTTACTATATACAATCCATTTTACTATATGGCCAGCTGTCAAACAAGGAAAAGTGAACATTAAGCCACATCATAATATGAAACTACAATACTACACTACAATATCTGGTAATTTCTCAACATCTTTGTTTACCACATTATGAATCTGTTTGCATCTGTCTTGTATTATTACATGCAAATCAGGGTGGAAACTACTCCAGCCCAGTGTGTGGTGGAAATGCACCTGACATTGTTTGGTAACTGCCAAAAATTTCAGAAGAAGGGTAACCTATGCGCAAACATCTGTGCTGTCACCCACACAGATTATTCAGTGGTTGCACTGATCAGGGATCAGATTGATTTTGCTGGGCAATATGTGTTCTTATCCCCTTATGTGACAGGAATAATTATGGCTAATCCTTTAATTTCCACATCACTTCAGTGGCATTTATCACAGACTGCTTGCTAAAGAACTTGGGAGGTGGTTTGAGAAATTTTTGATATCACGTTTGTTATCTGACTTACTCAAGATGCAAGATGTGGTACAAATGGTAAATTGGATACCGATGACGTCCATATATCACCCATCTTTATATGAATGTAGGTAATTTAAATACTGCCTTTTTCATACTAGCTTTCATTAAAGTAGCAGCTTTTAGTTTTGCTGCTATTCTATTATCTACAGTATCTGTTACTCTGTTGTCTGTTCTCCTCTTGCTCAGTGTTGGAAAGACCTCCCTAATGAACCAGTATGTGAACAAGAAGTTTAGTAACCAGTACAAAGCGACAATAGGAGCAGACTTCCTGACCAAGGAGGTGATGGTGGACGACCGGCTTGTTACAATGCAGGTACGGCACAGTTACAACTTGAAGGCCTTCAACTTATGAAGAGGAATGAAACTGTAAATCATTATAGCATTTTCCAGCTCCTCGCCAGGGTGCCACAGTTTTTCATATTTGGAGCTGTCATTTTCTCTCTTCTGTAATCCTGTCCATTTACTAAACGTTTTGTCCCCTTTTACTTGCCTAGATCTGGGACACGGCTGGCCAGGAGAGGTTCCAGTCCTTGGGTGTTGCGTTCTACCGTGGAGCAGACTGCTGTGTGCTGGTGTTTGATGTGACTGCACCCAATACCTTCAAGACACTCGACAGCTGGAGGGATGAGTTTCTGATCCAGGCCAGCCCCCGAGATCCTGAGAACTTCCCCTTTGTGGTGCTAGGCAACAAGATTGACTTGGAGAATAGACAGGTTGGTATTAGTGGTTAGTGGATGCCTCCATGATAATCTAATTTTAAATCATTACCCATCCCACATTTTAGAGTGTCCAAATGTTAGGTCCCTAGACACTAAGGCCCAGTTCCTGTGGATATGTTTCAGCTACATTGATGGTTTTGAGGCCGAGTGCTTTTGAAACACATCTAGCTGTACAGCAGTACTAGGACTGTTGCTCTTATGCTGCTGTTTTTAAGTAGCCCTCAAAGACTTGATGATCACTTCATGATACACCAAATGCCTCAGTGCAAGTGCACATGGGCTCAAACAGCTGAAAGAGGAATAACAGACCTGGAATTTTTTTAACTGGGCAGAGGTTATTTGTGTGGCAGCTGCAAGGCTCATATTTCACATGTAAGGTAATAAAGGATGGTGTCGCTCACCATGGCTTAAATATGGCTTTAAAATATCAGTAAAGTTGTTTGATCTCACCAGAAGCCAACAAATCAACATTATGATCATGATCCAATTAAATTTGTTTTGGACAGCTTTTTTTCTGTTTAATATTTTGGACTTGGAACTCTGACCCAAAGTTAGAGCCTTGACCCCTTGCAGACATGCATCAGTCTTCAAAGTCGTAAAGAACAGACATTGGAACAAGGCTCATTACCATTAAGTGATATTGCACGTAATAGTAATCCATCTTTATATGCTTTGTTGACCTTGACCTATAATGGTCCTAACCCATTTTACTAAAACATGAAAGTACTACAAAATATGCAAAATAACATTTAGTTTAATATTCAAACCTTTATAAAAAAGTTTATTTTTGTTTAACACATCTCTACAAATTTAAGCTCACCTTACTGACCAATCTTTTCCTCTTCATACACACAGGTAACCACCAAAAGGGCTCAGGCTTGGTGTCAGAGTAAGAACAACATCCCCTACTTTGAGACCAGCGCCAAAGAAGCCATAAATGTAGAACAGGCATTCCAAACAATTGCACGTAACGCCCTCAAACAGGTGAGTCACAGTTGCTTGAAATGAAAATGAAAGGGAGTGGAGACGTGTGCTTTGTGATTGTCAAATGTCAGTGCAGTTTTTGTACAACCATGATAGGTGAATGTTGTCAAAGCTATTGGTTTTGTGTTTTCCTACACTGACTATTTTCTGTCTTGATCCCTCACAGGAGACAGAGGTGGAGTTGTATAATGAATTCCCAGAGCCCATTAAACTGGATAGGAATGACAGAGCTAAGCCTTCAGCAGAAAGCTGCAGCTGCTAAAGGACAACTTGGACCATCTCTCTTGGCTTTCTGAACCACCCTGTCACCGGTTACATCACCTGCACCTTGCCCCGAGGGAAAGGACTTCCCTATTGGTCTTCCTCCTTCACACCACTGTTCATTCCATCGTCACAACCCTTCACAAAGTACGCTGCACATGGATGTACCCCTCCCCCCATTTAGTACACAAATTAATACACTAGCGTACTCTTTGCTGACAAATCCAGTGCCCAAAGATCACACAAGAGAAGAATGACACCTCTTCTGACCTCACAGTCCCTGACTTGATAGTGAGTGATCTCCTGTCTTGCCCACCCACTGTTGCCCCCGACTTTCACACCGAGGGGGCAAGATGGAGCCATGTTCAAAGAGTGCAATTGGGAACTCTAGATGGACTGGCTAATGCTCTGTAATCTGAGACGACGTTGGCTAATGTCAGCATCCCAAGTATCTTATTTTCACTTTCTGTTTTCTGTTTGCTTTCCATCGCCTATCTGTCAGGAAATAATCGAGTTGAACTATATATATAAATATATATATTTTAATTGGCTGATGCTATTTCTCAAGCCAATCTGAAACACATACATGTTTTTTTTGCACTTTCTTTTTATGTTTTTGCCTTTAAATGTTATAGAGGGATGACTGATTTTGGACAACATCAGCTACCACACACCTTTTGGTAAGCTTCAAATTATACCTACTCGCTTGTTTTCCCTGCCAAATATATCCTGAGAATCTGTCAAACAGTGATTGTTTTGCCTTTTCCCTTCAAGGTTGTGTGCTAATGGGTCTATAACTGCCTCACAATGCAGAAGAAATGTTCCGAAGTAGACATTAAGTAAAAGCTGATAACGCAGTCACAGTGTAAAACATGGATTAATTCTTGATATATTAATATTTGCCTTTTATGTAACATTACTTGTACTGCTACTATTACTGCTGTATGTGTTACGTCCTACATCAGACATCTTTCAATGGTATGGAATTACAATATGTGTCACCAACACAGCATACACCTGTCTTCTGTCATGTCTTTGTTATTGCTGTTCTCTCTATCTGCTTGTAGCTCAGGTTGGCTAAGTACTTAATATTTTTAACGGATTGTGTATTACAGTGTATAGATGGTAAAGGTAAAAGGCGGATTGGTTTAACTGAAATGGATGTTCTCTCTTTCCATTTAAAGAAAAGATCCAACTTTTTGCCCTGGTATTACTCCTCCTTATAGAAAAAAAAATCACTGCGATGCCAATGATGTTGTAAAAGAAAATTGGGATGTCAAATAATAAAACTCTTGAATATATCAATGGTCTAGCATTATGTGTCTCAGTTTCTGTTTTCTTTGGTTAAACTCTGACATTTTCTTCAGTTTCAAGTATTGTCAAGTAGGAGTTGTGTGATTTGTGCATTCTGCTTGGGTGAGCTGCACTGTTTGAATAACCTGGTAAGTGCTCCCACACGTCATTTTGGTTGTGGAGGGAAAATTCTTTGTGTGTGTGTGTGTGTCCCACAAACAGTCAAATCTGTACATATTCAGTAAATCAGTACACAAGGGTTCAAACTTCATCTTAGGCTACAAAGTCCTTAAGGCACACCACCAAATCCAAAACTGAAAAATCTCCCATCTCAACATTATTCAGTTATTAATTTCATAAGAATTTGATTATGAGAAAGTCTAGTACAGAAACAGATTGAAAAATTAAGTAGCCTGTTAAATATGTATAAAGGTAGATTGGTTCAGCATGTTCGATGACCTTATTGTATGTTGAGGAATCTACATGAATTGTTCTACCATTTTCTTTGAAGTGTAATCACATGAATTGTAGACTGATAGTATTTGCTGCTTATAGATAACCTTTTGTAATTTTGGTGTTTTTTTTCCGCAGCTTGATAACCGTGCCACTGCAGCTGCAGCTCGGAGGCAGAGCGGAGTTCCGGTATGTTCACGGAAAAAGCCCTGACAAGTGTAGCTGCTTCCGCCTTTAGCCGCCTCTCCTGAAACAGAGAAATGGTAAGAGAAATTGGATATAAGCTCATAAACTGACAGAGTTTAAAGCTACAAACATCAAACCTTGTCGATATTACGCTTTTATCACTCGTCAACCAGCCCTGCGTCCGCGTAGGGAGGCGCAGCTCGTGTTTTCCCACGGGTTTCATTTGGACTAGCTAAGCAGGTAGTTAGCTAACAGGCTAACGTTAATTTCCTTGCTAAGAGAAACAATCGAATTCATGTAATTCTACTGCGTTATATAAAGCGATGGAATCCCTGATAGAGTATTATTGTTGTGACGTACAAGGTTGGTTGTAGCACTTAAGTAAAGCTTTGTTGCTAAGTAATATAGAATGTTAACTACAATGGTGGACAATGAAAGATACTAGTGAACTGTGACTGCTGCTGCTGGTACCAGCTGGACTAATGATGTTAATGATAATGGAATCTGAGCATGTGTCGCTGCTTTGTTCCTCAGCTTTGAAAAAATCTTCACTGCTAAATTATAATTTGTTGACACACACGAACACTTTTTACAATTCTGTCAGTGTTTCCTGTCATTCTCTTGTTGTAGTGTGACACTGATGCAAGGTTTTGGGTGTATACAGTTAGGTCTAAGGGTAGAGTGCTGAGCAGCATCAAGTCTGAAAAAGCCAGGCCATACTTAGCTTCGTGAGGCCAGTATACATTTTTGTGAATTAAAAATAAAGAAACAAACCATCCATTAAGTCTTTTATATTAATACACAGCAAATATTTTGGATCCCTACATTTGGTTGTCAAAAATTGAATATTGAGCATATAGTATTCAAAAAATTAACCTGTCATCAGTTTTTCAAAAGACATGTTATTTGCAGCCAGGTGTCTGTAGCCAACAATGATATTTGTATTTGGGGCACAAATAGCCAATGTGGCTATTTACACCTGGGTGTATATAGCAGGCCAGATGCAAGCACCCAGAAGCCTGTACTAAGAAGCAAGTTCAATATTCCCAGGATATTTTTTCATTATTTGGCTTAACTGAACCTAACATTGGTCGTCCTGGATAACCTGTACTACGAAGCTGGGTATCAACTGGCTTATTTAATCCTTGGTTTTCCTATCTGGCTATGAGCACGTTCATGTGAAAGAGGCTATTGTTGTAAATCATAAGCAACATTATCAGATCCATGAATAAAGCACCTAATATAATATGAGAGGAAACACTGATACCTGCAGGTAAATTTGGTTATACCGACATCCAAAGTGATATTCATCAAGGTGAAATGTAAATGATATGATCATATGACTAGAATAATTAATAATTTGTCTGATGATGAACAAACTATTGTGAATATGTGATGCAGATAAAACATTTTTTTTAAAGTAATGTCATACTGTTGCTACTGCCAAAGCAAAGAGAGAAGTAGTTGGGGACTGGTCAATCGGACTGAAGTATTCATTTTTAATCATAGAAAACATTTAAATTTATGTGAATAATTTTTCTAATAAAAGATATCAGAAGGTTTAGTGTTTATTTCCATTTCATCACAAAGTCTCCTAATGTTGTTCTGAGCTCCTGTGAACAGTGTTTTATTGTGGTATCAAATTTGATATCAAGAATTGTGGTATTTCATTGATATTGGTAAACTGGGCAGGTTTTGATCTAATCCCCTGGAGCATGTTAGGAGTTCAACATAAGTCAGCATGGTGATTTAAACCAGTAAGAAGTGAACCACTTTCATAACCCTGAAAACTCAGGGTTAAACCGGAAGTTGCCTCACTAACGTCAAATCCTGCTTCATAGTACAGGCCTCTGGTGTCCGTCGCCAACAACGCTATTTGCACCCAAGTGGTTGTAGCCGACATGTCATTACATGTAATATGAACAAGAAAAGGTCTTTGTACATGTATTAAAGATCTTTAGAAATTTGCCCTCTCACAAGGCTCAGCTTAAAGGCATGCCATTACAACTGTAAGGTAATTTGAATAAAGATACTCATTTATAACCCATTCAGTTAAACCCTGTGTGACATGTTGTGGCTTAACCTGTGCAGTTTGAGTACATTTATGTTTACTGTATACTACTTGAATTCATCACATTTTTCATATCAAGACCAGTTTCATAGCATCAAGGAGTCCAGGCTCATTAAGATTAACTACAAGTTGTGTCATGTGCAGACCCAACAGAAACCACCAGGTCGAGACTCAAGACAGCTTAAGACCTTAGGCAATGTTATCAGATAAAGTGAAACCAGGAAAGTTTGTGTCAAAAACTTGTTGATCCACAGGACCTTTCTCAAGTCAGTCCTCGTTTCACCTGCCTGTAGATTCAGATGCACTCTCCTTGAGGAATGATTCTCATCTACTCTTCTTCACTTTCCTTCCTCAGACGGCAACCTTGCGTCCATATCTCAATGCGGTGCGTGCCACTCTGCAGGCCGCCCTCTGTCTGGAAAATTTCTCTTCACAAGTAGTGGAGAGACACAACAAGCCAGAGGTGGAAGTGCGGTGAGTTTGTCTTCATAGCTCTGAGTGCCACTTTGGAGTTATTAAAACCAAGCAGTACATTAAGCCAGAGTTAAATTTAAAATCTGAACTAATTGTTCGTTTCTGCCCACTTCCAGGAGTAGTAAAGAACTGCTCCTGCAGCCTGTGATAATCAGCCGTAATGACAAGGAGAAGGTTCTGATCGAGGGCTCCATCAACTCCGTCAGAGTCAGCATCGCTGTCAAGCAGGTCAGTCAGACTCAACAGATGATGACAGTAATTGGTGATTAATATAATAAAACGCAAAGATTAGAATTGTATCTGCAACACTGACAACTATTTACCTCAATTTGCTGCTCCTGCAGGCAGATGAGATTGAGAAGATTCTGTGCCACAAGTTCATGCGCTTCATGATGATGAGAGCAGAGAACTTCTTCATCCTGAGGCGGAAGCCAGTGGAGGTACGTGGACATTAAAAAATGGGTCTGCCAAATTTACAGGTCTTTGTAATGTCCCGAATGACCTGGAATGGTTAGAGCTCTTGAATGCTCCTTGAATATTCCAGTCAGTGGAGGCAGCAGAATATTTTTTTTTTAAAATTTGAGTGAAAGTCAGTGGTGGTTGTTAATTTATCATAAAGCCACAAATGTTGCCGTCTTTGTTGTTGTTTGTTTGGTCATTAAATCAAACACCCAGGAAATGCCCTGGAAAATGATTTGTTGCAAATAGTGGGAACGGTGACGTATTTATGTCAGTTATTGCTACCATTTAAAGTTTAAAACGGTTGGTGTGACGACTGGATCTTTAACAACTCAACTTGTCATCCATCTTTTTTGCAGGGCTATGACATCAGTTTTCTCATCACCAACTTCCACACAGAGCAGATGTACAAACACAAACTGGTGGACTTTGTTATTCATTTCATGGAGGAAATTGACAAGGAGATCAGTGAAATGAAGCTGTCTGTCAATGCCAGGGCTCGTATTGTCGCTGAAGAGTTTCTCAAAAATGTAAGTTGTTTTTCTATATTTTTTATTCTTTTTATTTTACATTTGTTTTAGTGTGACCAAGTAGTTTGTGTTCACTTTACTGCTTATTGCTAAAATAGTTTTTAATATGGAAAGTTTATTATGGTTATATTATTAATGTTATATAATTAATTTGTCTTAGGTCTTTTGTAGCTTATACATTGTGTTTGTTTTACTCTTGCAGTTCTGAGAGAGTGAAGTACATTCCTTTTGCAATCTGGCCATCACTGTGGAGTGTGCACATCACAGGGCAGAGACGAGACAAAACCCTGACAGCCAAGAGAAGTTAAGAAGTACTGGCCAATGAGGTTTTACCCTTTAACCTTAAAATACCCCTGTGCTCAAAAATATTGATGTTTGTATATAATGAATATTCACACAAGACATTACTATCTGCCTTTAGAACATTAGAAGAAGTCAGGGCAGGTCCTTAAAAAACATTTGTAATCAGTATTAATGAGCACAGGGTAATATGAAAGTTTTTCAGATAATTTAATTTTTTTTAAATATATATATATATTATATGCACATAAATTCCATTTTGCTATGTTTTGTTACAACAGACCTTAAACCATGAAGGCAATCAACTAATACATGTTTATTGTTTTAGTACACAGAGTAGAACCTATTGTAGATGGATAATAAAAATAAATATACTTGCTGGCCGTGAAGATGAATAAAAGCATTATCCTTTGTATTTTAGTATATTTTTCTTTTCTTTTTTTTGTGGTTTTTTTAAAGTTATGAAGCAAAAACAGCAGCTCTGTCTTTCCCCTAAACATTGCAGGTTTATTGAGATTTTGACAGCTGAAGACAAACAAGGCATTTAGAATTAGATTTTCATTACAATTATATACAATATCAAATGCATAATATTACAGAAATTGTACAGAGTTCTCAAAAAATTAACATACCGTATAATACATGTCAATTTTCACATAAAACTTACATCAAACTAACATGCATGTACAGTTTGCACAGTACCTTATTTTAATCTCCACAAATAAAACCAGGTATTAATTTGAATGATGAAGTCATTCTTCAGCCTTACAGTTCCTTTTTAAGTTTCACTCTTAAGACAGAAGCATAGCATTTCACTGATCTCTTAAAAACTGAAACCCCACAAAGTTCACATCCATAATCTGTTTGGATTTTGAATTACAGAGCATGAGCTACATTTAACAGAAAAAGTGTCTGTTGCATTTACAATACTATTTTTTAAACCTTTGTGGTGTTTTCGTGGGACTCTGTGGTGTAAGAATTTTATCTTCATCTCTGGAATGTTTTAAGAATCATTTTAAAATCTGTTTACTCAAGCTGGCCATTTTTTTCTTTTTAAATAATCAACAACCATAAAAGGAAAACAAAATTAAGATATTCATTTGTATGTGTTCACAGCAGTCAGGGATATTGGACTTTCATCGAGGGTATTTTAACTTATGTAGCTACAGTCTCCTCACAGTCTTTTTATGGTTATGATACATGTTTTTCATACAAGAAAAACATTTTCAAAAACACTGGAAGCAAATGGCAATATACATGGTGCACAACATACAGTGGATATTAAATGTAATCATGGAAAAAGACGGTGAAAGTTAAGGGAATGTTACAGCAATAACAGTAAACCCACATATCAAAAATATTGGCATTTTTGAGCTACAGTAACGGTACAGTTCACAACAAACAGACGTATAAAAATGGATTATATTTCGTGAAAGTGCTTTATAGTTGGAGTCTGGGATGATACTTATTTCTCCAGAGCAGTGAAGTAGCTACCATTGTAGGCAGTTCAACCGCACAGTTCCCATAATGCTGTTCAGAGGCCCTAACCGAAAGTCGGATGAGGTCTTGGCTGGAACAGGAAGTGCAGGAGATTAGAAGTGAGCTGGGACTGTTTGCAGAGCGTCTTCTGTGCTGCGCTGGACATTCACATTCTGAAACAGTGATAAGAGAGGAAAGGACTGAGTTATAGTCCTTACTTATCTGACATCTACAAATTGACTTTTGTTCATTGAGCAATCCCTTGATATACATATCTTCATGAACAGCAATTAACAGTAAAATTATGTCTAGATTTATGAAGTGGAGTATATGAATGGAATTTGGAATGGGTTGCAACTAAAATATTTTTGAATAGTTTTTAGTTGTAAAACAAAACTTTTGATAATAGATTATTGAAGACATCAAAAGATGGGAGTCCTTTAAACCACAAAACCAAATGATAAATCTTGAAAGAACAGACATTTTTAGAAGTAAGAGGCAAAATTTAAGTGAGCATGTTATTGTAGACAGCAATTTATACATTTCTACAAATTTTAGTCTGTTGTAAAAGGACAGTCTAGCTCATATGAACCATGAAATTGGTTCTGCTTGATGTGAGCATTCCTCCTGTTAATACTGGCCATTAAAATATCCCTTCCTAATGTGCTTTCAGTGTTCTACAAATATATTCAAAAGCTTCTGAAGGTAACACGAGTCCTCAGCAGTCTGAATTAGACAAAAATGAAATGGGTATCATCTAAAGTCTTTCTAGAATGAAATTCCCTCTTTGCGTTTCTATAGACAGAACCTATGGACACCGAACTGCTGTTACAAAAGACTTGAAAATGTTCTGCTTACGATTTTTCACTCAGATGTTTTTTTTTTTTTTGTTTTTTTTTTTAAAAGGACTCCGAAACCATGACCATGTTTTAATGTCTTCAATAATCCACTTTTAAAAAAGGGTTGTTTTCGAAACTTTGTATTACTTTAAAAAAAAAAAAATCCACAAGTTCTGTTATATACTCCAGTTTTTGTCCCAGTGTTCACATGTGCACCTGACTGTTGTTTTACAACAGACGATCCTATCCTTTAAAGCTTTACTAAGAAACACTCTTTCAGTGTCCTACTCAAACCCCCTTTGAAATTTGTCCTGTGAATGTGTACACACTCTCGATAGTCATTATCTGATTGCAATGCATCTTTGACAAAACAACGGATCACTGTTTTCACCAGAAAAAAGTAACAGGAGAAAGTGACTGTTTTTTTTCCCAATTTGGACATTTATATTTACAATAATTAAACCTTGACAAACACCACAACATGAAAAAAGTTACATTTGATTAAATAATTCAAGCATTTGATTTAACCAACACCATCACTGATGATTTCATAATAGATGGTGTAAAAAGACAGGATTTTGGTAAGCATTCCAGATTACCCTTCACATTTAAACAGAAAACAAGTGTTGACATAGAGACAAAATTTAGCTTAAAACAAGAACTGTTATGAAAATTATATTGTGCATCATTGTATATGAGGTTTAATGCGTTTTTCACATTTGTCTTTTCTGCACATAAGTTTGAAAATTTTATATAGCAAATATATAGCATACATGGAAATGGCTTAATGTTAATACAAAACACAATTGGGGCAACATTCATTATTTAAAAAAAAAAAAAAAAGCATAATGTTAAATTCTAGATGGTGTTTAAAGACAGATTTGAAAACAACATTAATGTAATGTGCTTCATGTTCTCATTCATAGTATTTGTACCACCACACACAGTCGCCTTTCTACACTTGTGAGGACCCTTTGCTATAATGCAATCCCTAGCCTGACCACAGCCATACCCCTAACCTTAACATAATTCTTCCCCTAACCTTAAAACCAAGTCTAAACCTTCAAACTGTCCTTTTCAGTAGTGAGCATCAGCCAAAAAGTCGTCACAGTGCTCTTAAGGTCTAAAAGTCAAACAGGTACAAAAATAGACGTGTACAAACACACAACACACACAGCTAAGTGATTTATCCTGAAACTGGATTCCAGTTATGTAGTGCCTACAAATTTGGAAAAAACAAAAATACAAAAACAGCAAGATACCGTCCATTTCTGATCCCACTAAGAGATAAAAATGAAACAACACAAAAAGTCAGGATGGAGGGAGGGAGGGAGGGAGGGAGGGAGGAGTGTCATTGTTATGTGATGTCACAGTTGTCTTGGTGGCCCTCAGGGATCACTGGTGGACGGAGACTGAACACGGCTTCCTCTGTGTGAAAGATTTACATTCTCTGTGCAATAAGAAGAAAGGGACGGATCAGCACTGACTGCAGGGCCTGTTTCAGGAGGGCGATGCAGGTAATAAAGGGTGGAAGACATAATGTGCCTCTCCTTAAATCATAATATAAAGTCTCACATTGCTTCTATGCATACAGTGTTTTCTGCGAGACGTTCTCTGACTGAATCTGAGGTCACAGATGAGGTTGTCTTGAAAATGCAGTGAGGTTAATCACCCCTGAAGTGGATTCAAGTTGTCTACATCATCTGCCGAGAAACATTTCTATGTGCTGCCTTGGTCACCTACCTCTGGTCTGTCTCTGTGAGTGTTTACAGCTTCCACGCCTAAAGAGACAGACTCCACTTTACATCCTAAGTGAGAGCAAACAAAACAAAAAATTATTACTAATTAGATCCAGTGGAGATAAATCTTTTCTTATGTTAAAATGTCTGACTCCAGGTAGAACTACAAACAAGATTATTATAAAACAAAACATAAAATTAACACTTTTTTGTTTCATGTGATGTAGTACAGCAATAAAACATGGATAGAATACTGGTGAAAGTTAACATACAGTTAATATATGACTAGAGAAGATTAGAAAGATTATATAACTCACCATAAGCCATGGGGGTCAACTTCAGCACAGTGTGCAAAGGGCACTTAAGATAAGGCAACTCGTCTGTGAAGGCAGAGATAGAAAGGTCTTGAGGTTAAGTGAACGGGAAGGGAAAACATAATGCCTCTGGTCACAGCTGGCATGGAAGCATAGAAACTAGCCTGATGAATACTGTGAATTGGCAAAAAAAAAAAAACTAACTATGTACATATTAAAGTCCTTCATACCTGCAGTCTTGTCCAGGAAATATGCAAGAAGACAGCGCATCACAGCTTGGTGACAAATGACTAGAACATTCTCCTGTCTTTCCAGCTCCATGATCACAGGCTCCAGTCGCTGCACCAGGTCTTCATATGACTGAGAATCACAGACCCATCAACACACAGTTGTAAAGACAGAAACAAGAAAAATAACAATGAGCTATGTGAAAGAATCATGTTCTCACCTCTCCTTTTGGATAGCGGTAGCGGTACTTGTCTTGGTCTCTCAGTGCAAACTCCAGAGGGTAATGCTCTTGAATCTCCTCATACATCATTTCCTCACACACACCCTTTGTAAAGATGGGAGAAGATGTCTTTAACTTGAGTACACAAATGCTTTAAAAGTGCTGCTGTATTCACTTCTCACAAACACAGAAATCAACATACAGCGTCTATTTCGTTGAGATACTTCCATTGTTCGTATGGCACTCCTAGGCACTCTGCTGTCTGTATTGTCCTCTTCATCTGGCTGGTCCACACCTTCAGATCTTTGATATTCTGTTCCTGGATGAATTTCCTCAGACTTCTGGCAAACTAGAAGACAGAAGAGCAAATATACATGAAATCCACCCAATACAAATAGTGATGTCTCTTTAAATACATCCATAGTGATATATCTGTTTGACTATGTTAAACTCATGCGCTACTTATGCCAACTACACGAACACACACCTCTTTTCCTCTCGTAGACAAGCCAGAGTCTCCTCCGATGCGTCCCATGATGTTGAGGTCACTCTCACCGTGGCGACACAGGTAGATAGAGCGCGGTGTAATGTGGATGTTCATCAGGTAGTAGACAATTCGGCTTTGGATGTGGTCAAGAACACGGTTCACCAGGTAACGATGGCCCACATCCATGATTTTTATGTAGGACAGGTCCCTGGAGCAAGAAGGTCAGTCAACTGCTATCTGCGATCTTGATGAGCTAACTTATTCTACTCACAATGACATTTTTATGTGTCCTCACCTGTCCAGAACCTCGTCCAGCGGCTGATAGGAGGACTCATAACACTTGATTCTCTTCATGAAGTCCTCAATGGCCTCCTCTGTGTTGCAGTCAATATAGTCTGGGCTGCCCAACTTCACTTGCTCCAAAGAGAGAAATTACAGGAAAAGGATGTGAGCAGAGAAAAGATACAGCTACCCTGGTTCTGTCCAAAGTGAAATAAAATACCTATCAGCACCTTTAAAGCTTATTAGGTGATTGCAAGGGCGTAGGTTTGCATAAGACATGCACATTAAGTTAACTGGGGACTGTAATGCCTTACTATACAATGACCTTTTATACTTATTACACTATGACCTTTTTTTATGCCTTACTATACTTTGATGTTTTTATGCCTTACTATACTCTGATGTTTTTATGACATTTTATACCTTACTATACTATGACGTTTGTTACACGCGGCTCTGGGGTTTTGTTTTGCTCTCTCCCTTGCTCTTCCCCGCTCTCTCTCTTTACCTGTCTCTCCAGGCACACCTACTGACAGCTGCAGTCAATCCTGCCCTAACAATAAAAGGAGGGACCTGAGGAGCGGAGCAGCCTGCTCTCACAGTTGCCATCTTCCTGTCAAGCGCTGGGGAGGGGAATCTCCTCCCAACTTGATCCCTGTTCTCCAGCCTGGGCCAGAGTGTTGTTTTTTGTTGTTTTTGTTTCTTATTTGAAGTATGGGGTTGGAGATCACTGGTAGTTCAGTTATCGGTTTTTGTTCATGTTTTAGGTTAGTTTGAGTTAGTCAAGTTAGAGGGGAGTTGCTGAGTGCAAAGGCCCATGGCGCGGCTGGCTCAGCGGCCTCCCCATCTTTTGTTCTGTTTGGCCGGGATCCCTACCTCTCTTTTGTTTCCTTTAGATGTGTAAAGTACTTTACAGTTTTGCTGTGTTTGAAATAAACTTATTTCTTGGCAACCACTTTCTGGCGTCCTTCTACATGTTCCTGTCTCCAGTTTGTGCCAGTTAGTTAAATAATAGGGAGATTGTAACAACGTTTTTTTGCTTTACTATACCTTGACTTTTTATGGCTTACTTTACTATGACGTTTTTCATGACGTTTTATGGCTTACTATACTATGACTTTTTTATGCCTTACTATACTATGAAGTTTTTATGCCTTGTATACTATAGTGTTTTTTGATGTTTTTATGCCTTTTATGATGTTTTCATGACGTTCTATGCCTCACTATAATATGCTGTTTATGACTTACTATACTATGACGTTTGTTACGTATGGCTCCAGGGTTTTGTTTTGCTCTCTCCCTCGCTCTCTCTCTTTACCTGTCTCTCCAGGCACACCTACTGACAGCTGCAGTCAATCCTGCCCTAACAATAAAAGGAGGGACCTGAGGAGCGGAGCAGCCTGCTCTCACAGTTGCCATCTATCTGTCAAGCGCTGGGGAGGGGAATCTCATCCCAACTTGATCCCTGTTCTTCAGCTGTGGCAAGAGTGTTTTTTGTTGTTTTTGTTTCTTATTTGAAGTATGGGGTTGGAGATCACTGGTAGTTCAGTTATCGGTTTTTGTTCATGTTTTAGGTTAGTTTGAGTTAGTCAAGTTAGAGGGGAGTCGCTGAGTGCAATGGCCCATGGTGCGGCTGGCTCAGCGGCCTCCCCATCTTTTGTTCTTTTTGGCCGGGATCTCTACCTCTCTTTTGTTTCCTTTAGTTGTGTAAAGTACTTTACAATTTTGCTATGTTTGAAATAAACTTATTTCTTGGCAACCACTTTCTGGCGTCCTTCTATATGTTCCAGCCTCCAGTTTGAGCCTGTTGGATTGGTAATAGGGAGATTGTAACAGCATATTTATGCCTTACTAAACCATGACTTTTTATGCCTTAATATGCTATGACATTTTTTGACATTTTTATGTCTTACTATACAATGATGTTTTTTGACATTTTATACCTTACTATACTATGACTTTTTCATGCCTTACTATACTATGTTTTTTTGACCTTTTATGCCATACTAAACTGATGTATTTATGAAGTTTTATGCCTTACTACAGTAAGACGTCTTTATGCCTTACTATGACGTTTTTATGACATTTTATGACTTAGTATACTGTGACGTTTTCATTATATTTCATGCCTTACTATACCATGACGTTTAGATACCATACTATACTATGATATTTTTTGACGTTTTATACCATACTATACTATGACGTTTTTTTTTGCATTTTTATGCCATACTACACTATGTTGTTTTGTTCTTTACCATCCTATGATGTTTTTTTGAGGTTTTATGCCATACTATACTATGACGTTTTTCGACATATTTATGCCTTACTATACTGTGTCGTTTTATTCCTTACCATACTATGACATTTTTATGATATTTTTATGCCATACTATACTATGATGTTTTTTGATGTTTTATGCCATAATACACTATGACGTTTTTTGGCATCTTTATACCTTACTATACTATGTTTTTTTTGGCATTTTTATGCCATACTATACTAGTAAATTTTTTCACATTTTATGCCCTACTATACTATTAAATTTTTTGGCATTTTTGTGCCATACTATACTATGTCGTCTTATGCTTTATCATACTATGATGTTTTTATGACCTTTTATGCCTTAATATACAGTAATGTTTTTTTTCAACATTTTATGCCATACTATACTATGACGTTTTTTGGCATCTTTATACCTTACTATACTATGTTTTTTTGACCTTTTATGCCATACTACACTATGACGTTTTTTGGCATCTTTATACCTTACTATACTATGTTTTTTTGACCTTTTATGCCATACTACACTATGACGTTTTTTGGCATCTTTATACCTTACTATACTATGTTTTTTTGACCTTTTATGCCATACTACACTATGACGTTTTTTGGCATCTTTATACCTTACTATACTATGTTTTTTTGACCTTTTATGCCATACTACACTATGACGTTTTTTGGCATCTTTATACCTTACTATACTATGTTTTTTTGACCTTTTATGCCATACTACACTATGACGTTTTTTGGCATCTTTATACCTTACTATACTATGTTTTTTTGACCTTTTATGCCATACTACACTATGACGTTTTTTGGCATCTTTATACCTTACTATACTATGTTTTTTTGACCTTTTATGCCATACTACACTATGACGTTTTTTGGCATCTTTATACCTTACTATACTATGTTTTTTTGACCTTTTATGCCATACTACACTATGACGTTTTTTGGCATCTTTATACCTTACTATACTATGTTTTTTTGACCTTTTATGCCATACTACACTATGACGTTTTTTGGCATCTTTATACCTTACTATACTATGTTTTTTTGACCTTTTATGCCATACTACACTATGACGTTTTTTGACATTTTTGTGCCATACTATACTATGACGTTGTTTGATATTTTTATGCCTTACTATACCGTATCGTTTTATTCCTTACCATACTATGATGTTTATATGACCTTTTATGCATTAATATACTATGATGTTTTTTTGATGTTTTATGCCATACTATACTATGACGTTTTTTGACATTTTTGTGCCATACTATACTATGACGTTTTTCAGCATTTTTATGCCTTACTATACTGTATTGTTTTATTCCTTACGATACTATAACGTTTATAACAGCTTTTATGCATTAATATACTATGATGTTTTTTGGCGGTTTGATGCCATACTATACTATGACGTTTTTCAGCATTTTTATGGCATACTACACTATGACGTTTTTTGACATTTTTATGCCTTACTATACTGTATCGTTTTATTCCTTACCATACTATGATGTTTATATGACCTTTTATGCATTAATATACTATGATGTTTTTTGATGTTTTATGCCATACTATACTATGACGTTTTT